GGATCCCGTAGACCGAGGAGAGGAGAGCAAGAGAGGACTGTATGGTAGGAGAAACAGCGCTGGGGTTGGCGACGCGCAGTCTGGCGTCGTTGGAGAACAGCTGATCGGTGTCCATGTACTTGTGACTGACTGACTAAGTAACTGACTTACTGACTCTACGAGACCACGTGGTCTTCTTACCGATACGTCCTGCGCCTGTCACGTGACCCCTTCACAGAGCGCCCCCCTCCCCACCTCTCTCTCTCGCTCCTGTATACGATCTACAGCCAAATATGCGTGTAAAAGGTAAACAGAGCCACGCGTTCGAAGATCATGTCAGGAGGATGCTGGGTCTGGACCACGCTCACTTGTTTACCGGATCCGGCTGTGATACGAGCCGTCGGCGTTGTTACACAGTGGGTTTAAGTCGGATTGGATCCGCGAGGGGTACGATGGACCGGGAGCAAAGATGCTGGGAATTGAGATTGATCTCGTAAGGATCATTGCGGATTATACTGTGCGAACGAGGCTGATGAGGTTCGGAGAGCCGTGGGACGTGTCTTTTTGTTAATTTGTTGGTGAGACTGTGTAACAAGGGTGGCTGGCAGTCTTACCAACTCAGTAGGCCTGGATTAAACTTATTGGCCGGCCTCGGCTCAATATTCGTTCGACGAAATTGGCTGGACCGTTTTGCCAAATTAATTGGGATCCAGCTCCTCGGTACGGGACCTGCTGGCCAATTCTTTTCTCTGCTATGTAATTCTTCCTGAGGCTGCAGGATACGTGTCGAATGTAACGAAGATCTTTTTAGCTTGTACCAGATTTTTTTTTTTTTATAAATCGCCAGACTGCCGATTCACCAGGTGATTCGATCTCTCGTGCGCCGTGATTAGAATGGTGTCACACGTATTTAACCCAATTCACATGTAGGCGACTAGTGAATGCTACACGGGCTTGAATTTCGCGATTCTATCACGCGACGTTAAGTTTCCGAGCCGATCGGGAATTAAAGCCGAGTTTTCAAAGGCTGCGCGATCGTCGACAGTACGTGCGGATTCCCTTAGGGTATACGCGGGCTCGTTCGATGGAAATAAAGCAGTGCGAAAGAAAAAATCTTTAAATTAACCTCCTTGTATTCAGGCATCCTCGGCGAATATCGCTCACGGTATTTCGAAAGGCTCGTCCGACAATCGAATTGAAATCCGTGCTTTTTTAAAGAAAATTAAAAAAAAAAAAAAAAAAAAAAAAAAAAAAAAAAAAAAAAAAAAAAAAAAAAACGATTTTTTTTTTTAAATATCTGAACACTCGATAAACCCTGAAAAACTGTCGAGCATCGTTGCGCTGAAATTCTTTTACTCTTTTTAATTCCGTAGCCTTTACCACGCGAGAGAGAGAGAGAGAGAGAGAGAGAGAAGTCAGGCGACAAAGAGAAAAAAAGAACATAAAAGCCGTCAAACCGTGCTCGAGTATACCTATAGCTACGTAGCAGGCAGAAATACAGTCGACTCGATTTATTTCGTGAAAACCCGCCGGGAGGCACATGCGGGTGTTGCCTACTATGCACAGTCGTCATAAAACAAACGATACACTCTCGTCTCTATTCGGCTCTCGCTCCCTCTCGGGCTCTACCCTGTCCAGCCGTCTCTCTCGCGCTCCCTCGTACATTCTTGCTATCTCGCGGCGTTACGCAAGATAAACTAATCTATAGAGGACGCCAAAGCGAACGTCAGGCTAGCGCAAAGGAGCGAGCGAGCGAGCGAGCTTATGCGAATAAATAGAAAGAGAGAGAGGGACAATGCATAAGACGTTAACAGTCGCCACGTGACTCTCGGTCGAATCCTCAAACGATATTTATAACGCGTACGAGGTGCTTATTGTCGAGCAAATAAATTTCAGATATCCGGTAAAGCGTCAAGGCGGATACGCATGGTCGCTCGTAATTTCCGGAACGACCAGTCGTTGCTCGACCCCCGCCAGGACGGCAGTGACGATTCCGTTTATTTTTTTTTTTTTTTAAACAGTGTCAAAGCCAAACCGGCGCCGTCACGGGTCGACCAGCGATGATTTGACGCGCGTACGTGTTTTCGGGTACAGGAAAAATTCGTCCGAGGACAAGAATGCCCGTAAGTATCATCTGGGCAAAACTACGAATCGACAAAGGGCCAGTCTAACCGCGAATGGAACGATGGGTAAAATAAAAAAATTTGATAGTCACTTGATTGTCATTATATATTTTTCCATCGGCCCGGAGGGCCATTGAAAATCGTGAGATTTTCGCTACGCGCCTACGCGCCTAGCAGCCGATGCCAATTGTCGTATCTACTGCGTGACTGGATGCGACTGCACGTGAAAGGCAGAGTGGAGTAAGCGAGCAAGCAAGTAAGTAAGTGAAGGTGCAGTGACCTCTAAGTACCCGGCTCGTGCTCGAGTGATGGGCTTACGGAGTGTGCCCGTC